TCACTTTTTTTTCATATATATTGGTGATAAGATTGAAATTCAAATTCAAATTTCCATTTTTTTTGTTGAAACATTTTCATGTAATTGAAATGGAAATAAAATCTCATATTGTCCTAAAGACTGTAAAATGAACAACAACAACAACAACAAAAATTCCCGAAAAAAATCTATTGATACAAATTTAATGATCATCGTTCAGAATTCGATTTGAAATTCATCAATATTGTTTATGTGAATTCAAAAAATTAAAATTAAATTACATATCCATAATATTGATGATAATCATGATTATCTAATCATCAATGAAAAAAAAATTACACATTAAAATTGAATGACAACAAAAAAAAAATTTATACAATTTATATTCAATTAGAACAATATGAAAGTAGGCAAAAATGATTTTCATTTATTACATATACCACATGAACATATTTTTTTAAAATTCAATTTAGTCGAAAATAAAATTTATATTGGCCTCGATTAAAGAAAAAAGAAAAATTTTCACAGCAAGAATATCAAATGGAAAATCATCACTTGCAAATCAAAAATCATCGATGATTGTCATGGATTATTTCACATACCTGACATGTTCATTGATAATGATGATGATTATGATGACTATCATCACCAATCATATTATAATCATGAAATGATAGGTCATGATAGTTGTCTCAATCTGTTTTTTTTATTTCTATTTTTCTATCCAATTATGTCATCACTGTTATTAGATTGATTTTTTTTCTCTTGTTATTGTCATCCCCAATTGAATATTTGGTGAAATATTCATCATCGTTATAAATGTTATTCATTTCTTGAAATAGTTGCCTTCATTTAATTCGAATAAATGTTCGGGGTCAAAATATGAAGGGAAAAAATTCTCATCGAATGAAATTTCAAAAAAAATTATGATTATGAAATCAACAAATTTTAATGAATGAATGGATTGTATTGAGTTTTTATGGCATAAGGAATATTCAATCAAAAAGATGATGATTACTTTTTCAAAAAAAAAAATTTCAAGGAAGAAATTGAAATTTTATTAAAAAATTCAATCGTTATTATTAGAAAAATAGATCGAAAATCCAGCAAGCATCTGCGGCAAGATTATGATCCGGTCGATTTTGTTTCGAATATGAAAGATGCATTTATTATAATTATCTTTTGTTTTATTTTCATCTACATCCAGCTGCTTGAAATGATTATCTATTGTCATATATTTTTTTGTGAATGATGAATTATTTTACCAATTTTTCGAATTTGATTGATCATTTGGCCATCAATCATTTGTTCATTTTCAGCTACTGTTGATGATCTGATTGATCAATTAATCTTTGATAGTAACAGCGGTAATACCATCAGTTTTGCTTATTGATAATTTTTTGTTGTTGTTGTTGTTGATCATCTCTATATTCTATTCCATAATGTTGATCAAGTTGTTTGTTTCCGTAACTCGGTAATCAATCCAGATCAAGATTTTAAATCTATTTTTTTCAATTCGACATACATTGTTAACTTTTTTTCGGAAAAATTTGTTCCAAAATAATAAATTTTTTGCTGTTTTTAGTTGGCAAAAAATGGATTTTTCTGGATGCATCGTCTGTAACAAAATTCAATGAAAAAGGTAAATAGAAAAACAAACAAAAATGTCACATCAATCGTGACATTCAAAAACTGTTGTTTTATTTTTCTCCACCAAAAAAAGACAACGATTATTAACCCTATTATTCGAACGTTCTCCTTTTTCTTTTTTTGCCCCTTTTTTTCTCGATTTGACAATCCAATCCAATATTTGCAATGATATGATGATCATATGTTTGTTTCAAATGTATCGTTCTTGTTTGTATATTCAATCAATAAATAACATAGAAATAGTACACAAAAAAACAACAGATAAAACTAATGTTAAATGAAAGAAAATGAAATTTCTCAACAACAAAAAAATACTTTAATAAAAATTCCCATTTTCTTCTTATGGATCATATAATGACGATTATGTTGATTATGGTGATTGTAACATTTACAATGTAATGGATCTTTTGAAAATTTTTTCAATTCTTAGCTTTTTTATCTATATCTATCTTGGCATATTACTTTTTAACTCTATTCAAATTATAAATTGATGTAACTGAAAAAAAAACACACAGTGAAACGCCAGAAGATCACATCACTCACACAAAAAAGAGAAAAATATGGAAACGTTGAATTGACATTTTTTTTCAAAATTCACATCGACATAACAATATTGTTCGTGTAGACAATTGTATTATTTAATAAAAAAGATAGAAAGATAGGTGGATGATTTAAGTAGAAAAAAATTAGGTAACTTAAACGTGATCAATGTGAATGACAACGACGATGATGATGACAAATAGAAATTAGGAAAACAAATGTTTCTTTTTCTTTTTTCTTTTTGTTTAAAACCATATCCGGATTATTCATAATCTTTTTTGAAAATAATTTAATTGAAAAAAAACCAAAAAAATTTCTAATTCCATTCTTTTAATATAAAAATGATTAAAAGTTTTATCAAAATTTTGTCCAATCAATTTATAGTGTAACAAAATCAAATTGATAATTCGATTGTTTTAATTGATATCATCGAATTCATTGAACTTCCTTAATCATATTATTAAATGATTAAATTTTGGCAACAACAAAAAAAAAACAAATGAGTATTTCATGGAACAAGCATTTTTCCCATTCATAAATGACAGTAATTCTTTAGTATACTCAAAAAATCGATTTGTCCACGTGAAATAAGACACACACAACGTTGTGTGAGAATTTGATTGAAAGAAAATACACATTTTTCTCTTTTCATTCACTAATCTGTTCGTGTTTTCGTGTATTTGTGTGTGTGTTTTGTTTTGATCCATGTTTTATAATATGTTTCAGTTTTTGAAATGAAAAGAAACTTCCGATATATAATGTAAACTATTTTATGTATGACAATTCTTTCTTTATCACATCGTCATCATCTTTTGTTATTAATAAGGCATTGAAAAAAAATGTATTTATTTGAATGATTTTTGTTTCTATTATTCGTTTCTGGATCAGGGCTATAGCTTCGATCACGACATTCAGACACACAATCGTTCGATAATGACAAATAAATTGTCAATGAAAATTAGTCGAAAGAAAAAAAAAGCAAAGAGCAAACAAAAGAATAAGATCCGATAAGAAGATCAACAACGATAACAATAAAAAAGGAAGAAAAAATGACAAAGACAACGATGATGATGATAACTACAACGTTTAAATTTCTTCCGCTAATCATAATCAACAAGGTTCTCTTTTCCTATACATTTTTTTTTTGTTCAAATAAATATTTGATCAATTTAATCAATGAATTATGTGATTGATAATTTTTTAAAATTATATGGGCGATAATTTTTATCTTTCTCCCTCATTTCTTTTATCTATCTTGTGTTTAAACATAATGAAATATGATTCTTTATCCAATCAGCTTGTTTGTTTTGTTTGATTTCTTTTCTTTTCCGATAAGATTATCTTTCTTTCTTTCTTTTTAAATGAGAAATGGCCATATTTAACGAAAAAAAAATAAGAAATCACCGATACTATAGTGGATGTGATGGCGAATAACAATAAAAAAATGAAAAAATATTTTTCCTTTTTGTTATAAAATGTTGGAATGATGAAAACAAGAATGACAATAGTTTGAATTCAAATCTAATATGAATAAATAGGAAATTTGTAAAAATTTTCGAAAATAGATGCGGATAAAATGATTTTAATGAAAATATTAATTCTATAAATTCATGTTAATTTGCTTAAGAATTGAGAAAAATGTTTGAAAATCAAAAAAAACAACAGTGTCTAAATGCACTTGTTTGTTGATAGAGATCAATGACCGCATTAATTGGCCGATAAGAATTTCTGATGATAAATTCTTGGATGCAAAAGAGAGAAACAAATCTGAACATTACTTAAATCAGAAATGATAAATAAGTATGAAGATATTTTATTACGATAGTGATAGGTTTTTTTTTGTTACAGTGGATTCAAGATTAAAAATAAATAGCAAAATGGAAATGGCAATGACCATCACAATAATCAATATGATATGAATATTCGAATGACTTTTGATGCCAAGATTAATGAGGTTATTGGGCTTTATCATTAATCGTCATCAGTATCAATTGAATACCGTCGAGCAAATGAAAAAATAAATAAATTCTAAAAAGTGAATTTCGTTTTTATTTTTCAAAATCATTATCGGTATTATCTGCCCGATCATTCAAATTGGTTTGGGTTTGGTCACATTAATGAAAATGACCATCTGTTATTGCCTTTTTTTACATTTGATCATTCTGATGACCTTACCATTAATTAAACTAATCATACAATGTCCGATTTGTCAGGGTACTCAATCATTCAATCAAGAATACACTCGAATAAACATTTTTGATAAAATTTTTTCTTCACATCAACGTGTAATAAAATTCAATGATCAAAAATAAACGAAAAAAAAAATACTTTATTACCAATGTCAATAAACTTTCTTTTTTGCTTTTTAACATTTGAAATGATGGTTTTTAATTTTATTCATTTTATCTGGGATAACCTTTAATGTTTTTTTTTTGTTGGTTGGTTGATTGTGAACGATTCTCAAAGATATCTAAAAAAGAATGATCAGGTAAGCAAAAATGAAACCGCTGAAAAAAGTTAACATCATTAATCCTCTTCTATACTTGCTTTTTTTTCTTTTTTACGTTGATTGGTGAAAAAATGTTCTTTTCTTATGATTACTTAGAAATAAATGATGGTCGTTTTTTGGCATGAAACGAATATAAACATTATCCAGTTTTGATGTGAAAAATAAGAAGTAGTACGAATGAAAAGAAAAGCAAAATCAAATTTTAAGATTGTCGAATTCTGGTCAGGTTACTTTTGCTTTCAAGTATTCAATTTGAATATAATGTGAATCTTACCTGAGAGAAATATATAAAAACCTAATCAACCATTAGTTAAAACTTTAAATCAATCTATTCAGACGTGTGAGTGTATGTTTTGTGTTCATATGGTGATCAGTGCTTTTGATCACCTTTTTTTCTGTCTAAATTTTATCCCTTGATTTTTCAGTTGCCAATTCTCGAACAATGTTCAATATATGGCTGTTGCTTCTAATAACAATCGGATCTTCTATAGCAGATCCGATTCCGTTGACATCCGATGTAAAAGATTATGCTGAAAAGTCAATAGTTCCGGTCGTTTCATCTAATTTACAACAAGAATCGATTATCGTTGATCAACCGGAAAAACAGCCACGAACGGCAGCAGCAGCATCAGCTGCTGCATCAGCAGCTTCTATTGTATCGTTAGCCAATATTACATTTAGTCCAGGTCCAAACTCATGTCCACCATCACATCTTTTTGCACCATGTGATTGTTTTGTTCATGAAGAACGAGCACGTATCATGCGTTGCATGGGCGAATATAATATTGATTTGAATTCAATTTTTCAACGATTATCAATATATTTACCAAAGCCAGAAAAACATTTTCATATGTTTTATCTAAATAATACAAACATTTCCTATTTGGGCAATGTACTTCATGATATTACATTCGAATACATATGTAAGTTATATTCTTTTTTGTCTTATAGAAAATGATTCTTTTCGATGTTGATGTTATAAAAAAGTTGATAAATTTCATATGTTGTTTCATTAATAGATTTTGATGGTGCATCAGCCTTAGAATTCATCGATCCCAATGCATTCGATATAACGGGACCGTATGTCAAAGAAGTTCGGGCTTTCAGTACAAAATTGAAACAAAAATCTCTTGAAGATTCATTGATGGGTCTTTCCAGTCTACTGCATTTGACTGTATCAAATGTTGGTAAATGCCCACCGGAAGAAGTTACTAGACCTTGCCGTTGTGAATATCGTATGGACAATTGGCAATGGGTGCAGGCAAGATTTACACGATTCGTTTGTGGAGAAGAATCGGAAGAAGATCTTCGAATGCAATATGTTCTCAATGCTAATCGTACACGTGAACAGTTTGCTTATTCACAAACGCGACGATTACAGATTTATTTTGAACGTTTAAGTGAAAATCTTGCTAAACTTGGCTGGCAAAAACGTTTTGATGAATTTGTTATTCAAAATTCAGCTATTTCGGAAATTCCTCGTAATCTCTTTGGTGATATCATTTTCTATGGAGTTAAATTTGATAATTGTCCAGAATTGACGGCCATTCACCCGCAAGCATTTCAAATAACAGAACCATTTATTGAAGAATTGACCATACGTCGTACACGTTTGGGCAATGAAAGATGGAAATTGCGTGATACTTTTAACGCTATTACCAGTTTAACTAATCTTCGTGCACTTTATCTTCAAAGTTCCGGATTAAATGTAAGTAATTCATCAATCAACAAAGTGGAGATAAACTATAAGAAAAATTTTGATTTTCCTAAAAAAACTATAGGCTATACCACATCACGCTTTTCGACCGTTGAAAGGACGATTCCAAAGAAAATTGGTAAAAATTTCCATCAATTATCCGAATGTTCGTGAAAATTCCATTCGTCAAATCGGAAGCTATGCATTCTATTATCTATCTAATTTACGATCAATAGATTTGTCCGTAAACTCTATTGAAAAAATATATAAAAATGCCTTCTCTTTCCGTTGGGAATCCACTGAAATGTTGACAATAAATTTAGCCGGAAATAATCTTACGGATAATAACATTGAATCAGGTGCATTTGTTGAACTACAGCGGCCTGTGAAGTTAATTTTAGGACAAAAAGAACTTGGTAATCCTGGACTTCGACATCTTGAAGAACGTGTCTTCCGGCCATTATTGAATGAAAATGAAAAGAATATAATTACATTAAGTTCATCGGAACATCCATCAAACGGTAATCGTCTACAATGTGATTGTCAATCACGATGGATTTTTAATGAAATCGGCAAAGTTCGTAATGGTCTACGTGATGTTATGTGTATCAGTAATGGTAGTTGGGAATGTTTACCACCATGTCTTGTATTTGGCCAAGATCTACTTCATTGTGGTTCTAATCAATATTTCAATATTGAAGATGTATTCTATTCATTAAATCGTAATCTGCAGCCTGAAGAAAAACATTTTAAACGATTCATGTTATCCAATTTACAAATTGAATCAATACCAAACAAAAGTTTTGGTGATATCACATTTGAAACATTCGAACTGGATGATTGTCCTAATCTCAAATACATTGATGAAAGGGTATGTCTGTTAACATTGACTTTCTTTTTAGATGATCAATCAATAATAATTATTTTGTTTTTTATAAAGGCATTTTCAATGACAAAACAAAATTTAACCAAAATTGTCATCAGAAATACACCGCAATTGCCGGAAATGCGTTTCTCATCATTTCAAAATCTAAACGAATTGGCCATTCGATTTGTCGGCAAATATCGTTTGACAGACGAGTCATTCAAATCAGATCTCCCAACAGAAACATTACTTCGTCTTCGAATCGACGTTGATGGCCTATTACCATCATCAATCGAATCAAATGCACTAAGCTATGCTTATCGACCCATTAATGTCATGCTGGAACATCCTGAGAATATCGGCAAACAAGAATGTAAACTATTAACATTGGAAGAGGAAATTTATGCACCATTTTTGGCTGTCAACCCGGAAAACAAAATTCGTATCAATAATTGCCCAATCGTTTGTGATTGCTCAATTAAATGGCTTTTTGATGCACCAAAAGATTGGTGGATGCGTGTTGAAGCTGGCGAACCAAACATAGGCCTACAATGTGATGATTCACGTTCATTATATTTTTATTCGGATTATGATTTTCGTTCATGTCCTAAAACAAATCTGTTGAAATATTTTATTCCGGATTCTGATAGTAAAACTACAGTTGAAAAACCCGCAACCTCATCTATCGTAAGTCCGGTACCATCTTCATCATCATCATCCAAATCGGATTCAGAAGCAATATCAGCTTCATATGCATCAAGCGATACGATTGCCATTACTGGTGCCACAACAGGTGAGGATAAGATGAGAATCGAAGATCAAATTCCAATCGAATCGAAACAACAGCCAACACAATCCATTGCTGATGTTAGCGAATCAAAAACACCGGTGGCTGACAATGTACCTGAATCGAAAAATGAGCCGATGATTAATGCCGGTGAAGAACATCCATCATCAGCCACAAGTGGTGTTGTCATTAAACTAACTGATGTTTCGGGAGCAAATGACCCATCATCATCGATGATGGCCTCAAACGAACCAATTGTTGCTGTTCAAACGGCTGAGTCATCCTCAATCGCCAAAAATATTTAATCCAATAGAAATTCCACAAACAAGATCTCAAAATTAATTGAAAAAAAAACAAATTCCAATCCATCTTTCAATTCAGCGCCACCTATCAGTAATGATTTGAACTTGAATCATGTTTTTTCTCAATCCTGGATCATTCTTTTTTTCCGTTTAATCAATTGAATTCTAAATCATATTCTGCTCATATTACGCATGGATCGATGAAACAAATCTTAGCCATCTATACTGGGCAAACTTAATGTGAAATGTGCCAAATCTATGAATTAGCGATAATAATAAGTCTGATGATTTTTAGTTATCAGTTTTTTTCAAACACTTGCTGAATTTCTAATTTAAATAATTTTTTGCAAAAATTACGATCTCCCATAGTTGTATTCATAATTTGCCTCCTTTTTATTGATCAAAAATTATAACAACAAAAAACAACAGCTAATGAGCTTAATTTTCTTTTGCTTTATTCGATTTTATTTGATTATGATTAATATAAAACTTGACGATTATTCGATTCAATTTGTATAATGAGAATGATTTTTTTGTGTTTATTTTGTAATCGTTCTCAATGCATTCATAAATTAGTCTCAATGAATTTTTTATTGATTGTGTACATGACAACTATAACAACTATTATTGTTGTTATTGCCACTGATCGTTTTGGAGATTATTGGGGTAAATACGTAAGTTGTAATAATCACGAATCATTTTTGAATCGTACCATTTCAATGGTAATCATAGCAAATGATTTATGGTTATTTACAACAACTCTTCATTTAATAGTCTATCCAAAAGTTATCGATAATAAATCTTTTCGTAATGGCCAACCTATACCATTATTATGGGGATATATTTATCCAATAAATGATACAATTCCTTTAATAAAGTATGACGGGAATATATCACAAACATTGCTTTATTCTCAAGGCACAGAATTGCGAACGTCATTTGGTGTTGGTATTAAAAAATTCGGGAGAAATCCGAATGACTTGAAAGATTATCTAATCGAAATAAAAATGGCAATCTCTTTTAATCATCACTTTGTACGAATGATGAGAGAGTATGTGGTTACTTCTGATATTATTAAAGAGTTTATTTTTAAAAAAGTTCAAAACCGAATTCCAAAGATTCAATTTAGTGCATATTCATTCATTGAAAATGATGATGAATTTTATCAACCACAACCACCATATAAAGGTTTATTTGAAAGAGAAAATATATTTTGGGTACGTTTTGCTTCACATCAAGATTACGTGTTTTCCTTCATTTATGAATCTATAAAAATTGATAATGTTATACTAAGAATTTATGATGCAACGCTTCAAAATTTTGTCGGTCAAATGTGTCATGATCCATCGGTTGATCGAATAACATCGGCAAAATTTTTTACTGACTGCAATGTATTCTACACATTACTGTATCCACCATTTGATTTTGGTTTTTATCATGATGACAATCTATATCTAGTGTTTACGTCAAGACCAATGGTTATAAAAATTAATAAAACTATACAGGATTTGGCAAATGAACAACATGAATTTGAAATACTTCATTTAGATGAACTATTCAAATGTCGTCCGAAAAACTAAAAAAGGATTATTAGTTTGTTAATAATAATCGGCTATAAAATATAAAAAGATAAATCAATATGATTGTTTCATGTTCAACATGACAACTCTTAAAAATCTTTAAATTTATTATTTTAATTTTTACTTATTTTTAATCCTCATAGGAATGAAATAAATTAATTGTTAATAGAAATTAATTATTTTTAATTGTATTTAAAATTTATTATTGTTTAAATCAAAGATAAAGGGATATGTTTCCAATGTAAAATTTTGATCTGGAAATTGTTTTTGTAATTTTTTAACAATGTTTTTACGTTTTTTTCTTGCATTTTTTGTCGAATTTCTAGCATGTCGATTTGACAATTTTATAAACCATGAATATTTATATAATTTTTTCATTGTTAATTGTAAATAATTGATATTCAAACCATTCTTTAAATGTTGTTAATGGATAAAGACGAATATCTAAGTTAAGAATCGGAGCTAAATAATGCATCATTGATGAATAGCTAAAAGTCATTATATAACCATAGAATGCATTATGTACAGCACGACTCATTGGATATCGTTCAGCACATTGCCGTATTTTGAGTAGACTATTTTCATGATAAATTTGTCTACACATTTCAACCACTTCTTCATCACTACCATTGCAAATATTGAATTCATCTTCAATACCCATACAATAACCAATTACACGCCAAAAATGAAAAATAGAATGAAAATCTTTTTGAGTAAAACGATGATAACCGATCTAAAATGTATCATGAATTCTTTTAATGGATAATAATCTAGAATTTATGTCATACCTGTTTCGGTATTAAAGCTGAAAGTCCAAAAAACGCTCCTTGTGTAAGAAACATTTCTCGTTGATTTATTTGTTTAGCATTTTGTTTATTCGTTGTTTGATTGTTATTCAATTTATCGGCTACTTTACAATGCATCGTTCGTACCATTTTCAATGATTTAAATGATTTACTATCCGTATCGAATGGATCATAACGGAACCAATCTTCAATATGTTTTATGGTTGATAAATAACGTGTAAATAATTTGTCAACAGTTTCGGAATTACCCGTTGATAATAATATTCGTAATATTTCATCGTCAGACATTAGACCAAGTATTAGGCCCATAAATGACGTTAATGACAATCTAATATTACATTCATAAATATAAGGTGAATTTATCACTTTCCACAGGAAGAAACGATTTGACTTACATAGATTGATACTTATCAAATAATTTTTGAGCATGTTTGAATGCTACTGGATCATACCATTCCGGTGGTTTACTTGCATCCAATCCTGGTGTGATGCCATGGAATTTAGGTCCATTTTCATACACATGAAGCCGACGACGACGTACATGTTCATATAGACTATTTTCATCCATCATTCAATCAAATGGTTCGAAACAAAATTTACCTAATCACTGAATAACTTGCCAAATAATTTTATATCAATAAATAGGATGAATGTGATAAATTTCACACATTTGTTGTTTTGAATCAAAAAAAAATTGATAAATGTGTGAAGAAATCTAAATGGAAGTAACCAAATCGCATGACAGATAATATCATTGTTGATCATTGATAGAAATCAATTTTATTGAAAAACAAATTTTTGTTACAAACTTTATTATTAGCTAATCAAGGTCTAGCTGTTATATTAGTTTAAGATTTTATAAAATCTCAACAGCATACAAGTACACAACTTAATAAGTTAACGATTGATTTTTTCGCAAAAAAAATATTTATTGATTCCTCATTTTGAAGACAGAAAATAAAAATATTATCATCATATACATCATAAATATGGCAATTTGAAAAGTATAGTGGATTCATCAATCATTAACGAAAAAGAAATTAAAAATTTTCTATGATTCACAATATGGCCAAAAATTTGTTTTTCTTTTGAAAAGAAAAATCTGCAAATTCATTTTGAATGAAGTATTTAAAAAAAATGATTTTTAGCTATTTATTTCATTTGATCATAAGTTTCATTTTCCTGATCATCCGTAAATGTAAGATTTTTGGAAGAATTTTCTGCTTGAAAATCTGAATGATTGAACGGCACCATCGAACTAATTGTATTTGTCACCAATGTTTTTGTAGTCGTCTTTTCAAATCGATTACTATCTGACTGTTCATCGGGTACAAACGTAGATTCATCGAGGATTGACATCGTTTCATTTATGATATGATCGATATCAATTGAGGTCATTTCCAATGTAAAAAATGTTGTTGTTTGTGGTGTTGTTGTTGTTGTTGTCATATCTCCAATAAAATTTTCACTATTAGATAAAAATTTTTGTTCAGTAGTTGATTCATCAGTTTCCGATGAATTATTCAATAAAAATGATGAGTTTACAGTAAAATTTTCATCTTTAAACGTGACATTTTCATTTGTAAAATTAGATACATCTCCAGTAGATGGTATTAAAGTTGTCGTCACAATCATTTCCTTTTCCATTTCATTTGATGATAAATTGTTCGAATTTGATATGATGATTGGTTTGATTTCCGAATCATTTGAATTATTGGTAAAATTTTGAACAGTGAAATTTGTTTTTAAATCAGTTTTAATCGTTGAATTTCCATTTGCATTAATCGTATTGTTGATATTGATACTTTTTTGTTTTCTAGCATCCTGTTCCATCATCCATTGTTGTTCTTCTACACTACCGGCAACAAGGAATACTGCACGTTTTGCCTCATTCACATTAGGCTGTTCACTGATTTCTGGTCCATTATGATGGCTTATTTCATTCAATTTCAATCGTTTTTGACGATAAGTTCCACGACCAAGTGTTTGATCAATAAATGGTTTCATTGCAAAGAGATTTGAGAATAATGTTGGATGTGGTAAATAGCCACGAAATATTGGATGACCGGTTAATGGATCACATCCATGTTGATGGGATGAATAGCCTGCTATATACCAATATGATTGACTACTCAAACATATTAATGGTAAATATGGTGGTAGACAAACACCAGGTTTTGATTGAACATTACTATTTCCACCGTCTTCAGTTGCACAAACAAAACGATCTGTTAATGATCCGGCAAAATGTTTCGTTGAATTACAATAAGATGATTCTAAAACTTTGAATGCTGTATCACTATTTCGATAATTTCCAATAAAACAAGTTATTTCTGGATCAAGTTTAGAACTAGGCAAGCATATTGATGAATGATTTAATAATTGTTCTGGTATCGTATCACTAGTTTCTATCAATGCCATATCATAATCGGGAAATCGAATCGTACGAAATACTGAATATTTTGTATGTACACGTACACGTTCAATTGGGAATTCTTTTCCACCAACATTAGCAGTAAGATTTTGATGAGTTAAATTGGAATTTCTAAAATTTTAATGAAACAAAATTGACAGTATTTAAATTTTTTTTTCGGATTTACATTAAACTTACATTAAACATTGTCCACTTGTAAGTAGCCATTTTGGAGATAATGTATATGCAACACATGTTTGATTACTATTTGTAGAATTATGAATGTGAATTGGTGTAGGAATTTCATTCCAGGTAAGATTTGGTTTTTTAAATTGTTCACGAGAATCACAATAAAGATTTGCACAAACAATCTTTGGCGTAAGATTATCCATACAGATATCTTCGAATGAAGCAATTTTCGACGATGATGAATTTGAAAAAATAGCCCATGTTGATTCATTTAAAAGATGACCAATTTTTATGGTTGTAAAATCAACAGCATATGACATTCCCATTTTTGTACAGATTTGATCAGCATCATCATGATTGAATAGTGTGTTAACACATAATAATGACCAATGATTTTTTGCACTATTATATGCATATACGAAATCCTCCAAATCTGATTCGACTGATTGATTTTTTTTTATTAAATAGAAATAAAGAATTTAGAAAAACTTCTGATAAATTCGAGCAAATGATATACTTACTGCAACGATCTTCATCGGAATAATCCATACAATCAACGTGATTATCACAACGCTTACTACGATCAATACATTCGGCTGAATTTTGGCAGAAAAATTTTGAATCTTCAGCACTACATGTTTCCGATTTTACTGTTGATTTATTAAATTAATCTCTAACCATTATATGAGAATTTCAAACAACTTACCGCATTCTTTTTCATCGGCACCATTAAGACAATCAGCAATACCATCACAAACCAATGATTTACTAATACAAAGTGCATTATCATCACAATAAAATTTACCCTTAGATTCACAAGTAGATTGCGCATCTAAATAAATTTGAAAAGAATTTGTTTTCTTGTTTCTGAATTTCATTTAATCTAAACTATATTGAACTTACCACAACCAGCTTCATCAGAACGATCACGACAATTATATAAACCATCACATGCCTGTTTTCCAGTTATACAAGCACTGTTATCACGACATAAAACTTTACCAACTTCACATTTATCGATATGGCAATCGATTTCATCAGAACCATCAATGCAATCCCATATACCATCGCAATAATATGAACGAGGTATACATTGTTCGATAGATTTAGATTTTATCGAAACTGTTTCCATTGCAATTGAAAAATTGTTAAATGGTATAGTTTCATTTACATCTGCTACAGAAACTGGTGGTATGGATTGACCACAACGAAAATTTTGTCCGCAATTTTTTTCCATACAATCAAGTTCATCAAAATGATCTTGTGGACAATCTACAATTCCATCACAGATATGAGATTTATCAAAACATTCCGATGAAGTAGTATTTGGACATTGAAATTGTGTATCAAGACAAAATGATGCTGAAAGTTGCTCGATAATGGGTAAATTGGTCACATTATTTATGGCCATTGTTTGATTTGTTTTGTTAATATCATTTGTTATTGTTGTATTCTCATTATGGATCATAAGATGCTCATCATCAATTTCTTCAACTTTTTCAGTAGAACTAAATATTCGTCCCGTTCGATTAGTTTCCGGTAGTAATGTGGTTGTAATAAAATCATTCGACCCATTTATAGTTTCGTTAACATTATTTAAACTATCTGTTTTATTATTCGATATTTCTGTAGTAAATTCATCATCATTAATGTCGGTATCATTTGAAAAAAATGTTGAGGATAAATTTTCATCATCTATCATTGCTTTTTCTGTTATTCTCATGGTTGTTGTTTCTGATAACACAGATTCCGTTTGATCGTACAAATCATCTGGAACAAACCAACTAGGAACCAAATAAGAATCCGGATCAATAGAAGAATTAATACTGGGAATATTGACAGAATTTGTTGAATTGAACCTCAATTCAGTTGAAGGATCTATTGTTGTCGTTTGGGTAATTTCATCTTCAACAGTTGTTGAATTGGAAATTACTTCGTCGGAAATGGTTTCCGTTCTATTTGATTCTTGAAATTCTAATGTTGTCATATCGGCAACAGGTGTGGATGAAAAATTAAATATAGGATAAAGAATATCACCGGCTTCATGGCTAGTTTCGTTTATCGTTTCATTTAATGATTGATTATATTCATCAATTAATGTGGATAGAAAATTAGATGATTCACTAGTCGATACCATCGTCGTAGTTGGTGGTGTTGGTGAGGATGACAAAGTCTTGGATATTGTTTTTTCATTTCCATCATTTTTTTCATTCTCATCTTTCTTGTTTTCCGGCGACGATATAGTAGTTAGTGATAAAGGTGTTTCAGAAGTAAATGGTTGCGGACTGGTTGGATTTTGTTGCACAAAATTTCGGGATCTATTTGAATATGGAGGCAATGTTGTTGTTGTTGTTGTTGTCGTCATTATTGAATCATTATCATCATTTATATTTGATTCAGTTGTTGTTGATAAATTTTGATTGAACTTATTATCATCAAGATCATCTTTTATTGGATCAACACTATAGATGACCATTGAGATTGGTTTCAACGTTGTCGTATTGATATTCAATGTACTATTTTCGATGTTATTACTATTATTATTGTTTTCTGGCGTTTTTGTCGTATATGACCAGATATGACCAAGTCGATTAAAACGACCAATACGCTGATTTTGACCATCATTGTCTTGTGATGATAGCCGTTGTTGATTATTCGATGAGATTAAATGATTTCTTTCGGATGAGATTGATGATACATCACAGTAAGATTTGTAGATATCTTTTAATATTTATGATCGAAATAGATTGAAAAGAAAAGAAAACACAAGATTAACATAATCTTTCATTGAAATCAATAATATTCAAATAAATCGGAGTTTAAAATTTTTTTTACTTACATTGAGCAGCTAATAATCCACTTGCAAATGAGATACCGATAATAATCAATATGGCCAATATAGTCAAAATCCATGAACAGAGAATTGTTTTCCAAGATTTTTTCCTATGACCATTCAATGATAAATTTGATGACATTGTTGTTTCAGTCGCTGTCGTTGGTGTAGATGGTGATGGTGATGATGATGATGATGATGTTGAACCAAAAAATCGATGAAATCGGTGATTATGATGATTAGAAGGAATAGATTTTTGATCACTTTGTTGATTATGGCCACCATTTATTGATATGGTACATGATGGCACTGTTGTTATATTTGAATTATGACGATTTAATAATGGTACAACACCATTTCGTTCAATCACATTTCCATTATTTTGTACTGAATATTTTTTTGTTCGAGTTTGTTGTCGATGATCGATTTCCAAAATATTTGAATTCATCATTTTGGCTTGATCATCATCAATATTAACATTGTATCCAAATGTTGATGAATTATGACCAGGTATATGTAGATGATGGTGATAATTATCATCGATATTTTTGTTTGGATTATGTTCGATATTAATATTTTGTGTCAACTCACCATCACCATCTTCTTCATTGTTTTGATTATGAAAATTAGAATGTAAAGCAGATCCGCCATTCATCGGTGATTTAATAAGAAATTTGGCTGTTGGTCCACCATTACGAGATATCGATGGCATAGTCACACCATTCATAATCATTGTAGCCATCGATGATGATGAACTAAGTGAATCATTTCGTTTTCGTTGTTGTTGTTGTTGTTGTTGATGATGTCGTGAAGAATTTGTATTAAACAATGTAGATGATGATGATTGTCGTGGATAAAAAAGATAAAATTTATTAGTTAATTTAGCAAATATATTGGTTATCATTTTTTTCAAAAAAAAAACAGATTCAATTTTTAATCGAATTGAATTCTTGACATTTGTTTCGATTAAATATCATTAACATTAATAAAAAATCGAAATTAAACTATGATCACTTGTTCAGACGAGTCAATGGACCTGATTTAAAAAAATTTCTTTGAATTAAACTCGAAAAAACATTGGTGAATAGCATCAACCCTTTCATCAATACTTGAAACCAGTTAAACCAAATACAACAGTAATATATTGGGAAATGAAAAAAACGGAATAGTAGTTGTAATAAAACAAACAACAGGTTAATCCAGTGTAACTTTTTTTTCACATAGATTCTTCAGGTGTACAAAATCGATAATGCGTGTATCGATTCAAAGTTCATCATTATCATCATATTCGGTAAACACAAAGTTTAAATGAAAAAAAATCAAACAAACATTGATATTTATATGGTAAACATCGATAAACTTTTCATTTATTGAATTTATGGAAAAAAGGGATGAATAATTTACACACAGACACAAACAACGACCGGTATATAAATGAAGCCAAAATTTGAATTAGATATCAAAAGCTATGCTTATGATTATAATGATAATCATCATCATTATTATCATTATTCATAACGTTATGATGGTAGAAAAAAACAAGGATAATAAGAGATTCAAATCAAATCAACTGACCAAACAAAACTTGTTGTCTATCTCTTTTTTATTTCTCTCTAACTTTTAATATCTTGTTAAGTTGAATTACTCTTTCATTCAGAATGTCCGGCTTGTAATAATGATAAATAATAATAAAAAACATGGCAGAATTCAATCATCAACCTACTATTGATCAGTGTAGGATAGAGATAGATCGACTTTTTAGTGATAAAATAGAAAAAAAAGGTGAAAACATGATGAATTCAAATAAAAACTTATTTTACCTGAAGATTCCTCATAAACACACGCATACACTCTGATGAAAACAGCAAATTTATGATGGTCAACTGAAATTACGGTTATTTTGAATTGGATTTTAAAAAAATAAAATAGCTAGAAAAAATGTTGATAGAACTTGGCCGTCAAGATCAGGTGAAATGGGAAAAAAGTTCACTGTATTCACTAGATAATCTGGTATTTAAAAATAACTTTTTACGACATTTTACAATGATATTGACCATTGAATTCGTAAAAAAATGATTTATATTTTTTTTTTACCCAAAAATAAAATTGTCCCTTATTTAGGCTGGCCGGGTTTAGATTAGGATAGAAAGTCTGAAGATAAATAAAAAAAATTAAAAATGAAATGAATGTTAATCTTGATAAGATCAAAATGAAAAGCTATTTATTCAACAAAAAAAATGATGGGTCAATGCTGAACGAATTACAACGATTAAAGTGGAGAAAGTTTATTGCTGTGTACGAATAAATATAGATTCAATTAAATTGCAATTCAAACTGTGCATAGTGAAAAAAATAGACATCATTATCGTTCAATCGAAAAAGGTGATAAAAATTGACAATTTTTTTTTGTCAAATCACAAATGGCAATCGAAAGCCAAGGTTCACAACAAAAGCCTAAATTATGTTCTTTATTATTAATATCAAATATTAAGGTTCATAGCAATGAATCAATAATCAAACAAATGTTACATCATCATTCTATGAGTTTGTGTTTGAAAAATTTTAAATTTACCGATAACAATGGTAATTATAATTATATTTTTACCGTAATCATTTATTTAAATTGACAATTTTTAATGATAACTAATTTCTAATCAATGAAATCCTAAATTTTCTAAAAATTGATATATGTCATATTTATCATGTTTTCCAGGGCCAATAAAATCTTGGTACGAATTGTTTTATTTTAATAATAATGAAAAAAAAATTCAATTCAATGATTTGATTATACCTCTTTTGTTTTGTTTTTGTTGTTTTTTTACCATTCTTTTTTAGTTTTTTCTTTTTTTGTTGTTTCAGTTTTTTCGTTGATATTAATGCCGGTTGTGTTGTAAATGATTGTTGATGGAAATTATTCATATGATTTTTTGAAAATAATGATGATGGTGGTAATATTATATGACTATTATGAACAACATTATTTAAACCTGTACTTTTATAACCGGACGCAAGATGATATTTACCACCAACACCAATACCACCAAAATTATTTAAATAATATTGTCGATAATAATATGGATAATATGGTTGAGTAAAAAAATAATCTTTTTTATTGGGAATTGGAATTTGATGATAACGTTGTTGTTGATTATATCGATTAAATGTTTGACTAAATTGATTAGCAGAAAATTCTACACGTGATTTTGGCCTATTATTTGGTATGACTGATGATGTTGATTGTGTTGGTGATTGAGAATTTGTTTGTATTGGTGGCATTGGTGATAATTTTGGTTTAGATAAACGAACAACTGAATTCGATTTAAGAACTGAAGAAATTGGAGGAGGAGGTGGTGGTGGTGGTGGTATTGGTATTGAAGCAACAGGTTGTTCAGAATATGGATTCATGTTAACTTGAAACAGGAGATTAATTACATTTGAAAGAAAGTGATGAGGTAATGTCTACTGCCGGAACTAATCAATTATTTGAATGCTTTATTCAATTTTCGAATTATCCTCGAAAAAATGAAGGAAAAAAATTATTATTGTCATCATATCGATGGAAAAAAAGATAATCATTAAAGTTAAAATATTAATTGAACTTTATTGGTCGAGGAATCAATCAAATCGAGAAGGACAAATCGATTAATAATGAACAGGATGAGAATTGGTAAAAACCCCAATCAATAAATTCTTGGACGACGACAATGATGAAATCATAAAAACAAATCAACAACAAACACACAATAGATTAACAGACACACACAATGTTTAAAAATCTTTTGTATTCAAATCTATTCATCCTATAATTATAATGTATTTGTATTTACTACCATGTATGTATGTATGTATTTATTTTTTTGTAGTTGCCAAAAGTCAAAGTTCTTCGGATGAAACAAAACAACAAAGAATGAAACAAATATTTGTTTGTTATATTCACCAAAAAGAAAATTGTCCAAAATAACGACAAAAAACATTACAATGGATAACAAACACACACACACACAATAATGATGAAATCTCATATGGAAAACACAAGAAAAATAATGGAAAAAAAACCTAGATAAAATGAATATTTTTCGATGTTGTTGTTGTTGATTTACAAGATGATGGCTTTAATATGACGACGATCATAATCAACATCATTTTTTTCCCCAAAAAAAAAATAATAATAATCATGACCATAAACAATAATGAAAAAAGATTAACGAGATTGTGGAAAAAAATATATATGAGATGAGACTAGAACAGATATATGACAAAGGTAGAAATTTGAACAACAAACATAAACATAAACGACAAAGAGATTGATTAAAATTGAGATTTACGAATCGAATCGAATTCAAAAGTAAATTGAAAAAAAATCTGAGGAATATATCACAGCAATAAATTACTTGAGTCGAATGAAAAAATTTTTAAATGATTTTTTAAAAAATATTTTTGAATGTCTGTGTTTATCTATGGTGTGTGTGTGTGTGTATACGTTGAATGGATTTCACGAAAAAAAATACATTTTTCATTCAACAAATGAAAAAACATAGGATTTTTTTTTACTTTTATTTTTTTACTTTCCAATCAAAGGATCCAAAGCCGTGCACGTACCGATTGTACGTGAAAAAGTAGTGTGTGTGTAATTGTTGTAGTTAGATAAAATGAGAAAAAAAATCCTTTTTTTTCTTATCGTTTCATTAATGTTTGCAAAGAAAAAAAAATCGAAGAGAAACACACAACACATACGTCAAGTGTTGAAATAAATTTGAATCAAATTATTTGGATAGAGAACGAAAAAAAAAACAGAGGGAAATCCGTTGTTACATTTGTGGCAATTTTTTTCAGCTGAAAAAAAGTTAAAAAAATTTCAATTTTCTACATCATCATCATCATCACCAATATTCAAATGAAATAATCAAAAATGATTTGAATAAATCATTGAGAAAAAAAACGAAATTCAACATTCCATAAATAGATTCAATCAATATTGATTTGATTTGAATCTAATCAAATCGAACGTATTTATATTCGATTGACATGCTAATTTAAATTTTTTTGTTGTTGTTGTCAGTAGTTGTTGTTGTTTCTTGGCCAATAATGTTCCTGATTGAATATCTTTATCGCCGGTTTGAACAAGACTAGTTTGATTAAACAATAATAATAATAATAATAATGTTGAAAACCACATGAGTCTATTCGGTAAAAAAAAATGCCGGAAAGCCGCATAAAAAACGTGATGTGTTAAAAAAAACAATAAAATAACAGTAATAACAAAATCTAGTGAATGGTTTATTGAAAAATCAATATTATCATAATCAAAATTTTGCCATAATCATATTTGATTTTGAAAAAATTTTCTTATTTATAATCTAACAACACGATGATAGCAAAAAATAATGGAAAGAAAATTAAATTTGAAAATTTGAATTTTGCCTTTCAATGATATCGAGCAAAAAAAAAATAAATTTTAAAAAGTTGACCAAACAAACTTAATCCGGAAGATGGAATTCAAATGAAAAAAAATTTCTAATTGATTTATCAACAAATTAGTTTGTTGGCCAAAAGTCTTAAATGCTGATCATTAAATAAATACGACTATACGCATATGTTCGATCATGTTTCTTGGTTTATCAATCGGTCATCATCATCATCATTAACATCAGGTCGTATAGATTAGATGCTGAGAAGAAAACTTAATTTTCAATTTCAGAAATAACAATTTGAAAAGTGAATGAAAGATCGAATTGAATCAATAACAAAACACCTGAAGTCTTATGAATTGCAAATTTATTCATTTTTTTACATATTTTTTTCTGTTTTCACCGATAGGATCGATTGTTTTTTCTTTGATTATTATATCGATCATTTGATGTTTGTAGTTTATGGAATTAATTTATAAACTGTTTGTGTTCCATTCGTTTAAATAACTTTGTTTTTGGAAATGAAAATGATTGGCCATTATTCGTAAGATTATTATGAGATTTAATTTTTATAAAAGTGATTATTTCTACTTCCTATTGTGGATTATTATTGTTATTATTATTTGGGGTGTCGGATCGATTTTGGCATAAATATTTAAAATCCTGATTCGTTCAAAGACTAATCTAACGATTATAAATGATTTTTCAATCACTGAATATGTTAAATTAGATATACAAATAGTGATAATTTATAATTATAGATAATTGATCATTGGCCACATCTAAACGATAGAAATAAATTACAGGGCACATGACCTCGAAGATCATTTTGTTTTCATTATTTTTTTAAGGAATATTTTCCCATTGAAAAGGTGGGATATTTTCGGTTTTTAAGAAATTTTTTTGGTTTCTGAATTAAAAATAATAATTTTTTTTTCCTTTTTCTCCGTATCTATGATCAACGACGAGTTGTGATTTTCTAATTAAAATTTATTAATCCAAAGGATTAATGAGAAAAAAACTGGTCAAAGATGTTTGAATTCGATACGGAAATCTATCATTTATTTCTTTTTATCTAATCAATTTGATTCACATGTCAGAAAAAATTAAATGATTAATCTACAAATTAAATTCGTGTAAGCGAAATTTTTGTTTCAAACAAAAAAAACTAATGAAAATCAGAAAAAGAAAAAACATAATAAGTTTTAAATCCGATAAAAAAGATTTTATCAAACAAAAATTTCATTATCTAGAATCTTTTATGGATAGAAACAACAACAAAAAAAAGGTTCATTATGTAAATCTAGTTGTGAAACTAGATTTAGTTATATTCATTATTCATCAACTCCATAATGATGATGATGATGATGTCAGATAGATAATAATTGACTTCGAGCCATAAACTACGATGGCAAAAACGGTAGCAAAATAAAGAAAATAAAAACTTAATGTTTCATCTAAGGACATTTATATCATCGACAGTTATGTTTGAATGTACATTATTATGAATTCCAAAATATTTAGATGAAACAACATGAAACGAGATTAATGGGAAAAAATGATGTGTTTATGTGGGCGAAAAAAATGAACTATATGACGCAATAAGATTATTTTCAATTCATTTTATTTTCCCAATTAACTTTGTGGCCACTTTTACAATTCAAAGGAAAAAAAATGATTTCAAGGATTTCAATAAACGGAAATTTTTTCTATTTCCAAGTTCATTATTTTACAAGTGTATATTTTTTACGAAAAAATTGTTTCGGGCACTTACTTTGTATTATTTTTCTTCTTGAAAAAAAATCAGTTAGTTTTGATGATCTAATATTGATCTCAATTTATTAAATGATCAAAAAAAATGGATTGATTGATTGTTTTAATAAGTGGAAAAAAAACAACAACAACAACAAAATCTTGTTATGAAGAAAACGAGAAAAATGCATACTAATGAGCAATGAAATGTGGATGTTTGATTTTTGTTAAATTGAAAAAAAAATAAATTTAACCTCTTAATTTGATCTCGTTTTTAGAGTAGATGGATGCAAATCGCAGAAATTTCATTTTTTTAATAGCGACCGGTGATGAAATCAAAAATCACATTGAATTTTTTTAAAATTTATTTAGCGATGGTCATTTTATCATCATTTTTTGTTTCATTTTTTGTTTCACATAATACAAGTTATTCAATATATGGATAATGATGATGCAGATGATGATGTATTTGACGCAAATGAAAAAAGTTTGTTTTTTTATTATTGTTGCACTAAAAAAATCACATGAATCTATTTGATATTTTTAATGTAAATGGATGGATACCATTCTATAACAACAACAACAACAGCAACAAATGTTTATTTGTTTTGGATTTTTTTTTCCGAAAAACATTCACACGACAACAAAAACACCTAAAATCAAAATGAAAATGAAATCTAAAAATGAATCATTCGAATTCTCAAAAATCAAATGTACATAAAGAATTAATTGAATGAGAGAAAACAAAAACTTGTTGAAAATTCGAGAAGAAAAAAGAAAACCTTCTAAAGAATGAATGATGAAATCACATTTGTTTGTTGATTCGATGAAAAAAAACTACTACCAATCTATCATTATGCAAAAAAATTGTCATATACTTTGTCTATGTAGAAAATTTCAACAACAATTAATATATTGATAGCAATTATTATGGATTGATTTGAATGAATGGCATCGATGAAGAAAGCTAAGGGAAGACAATTTATTTTCTTTGGGTCTCTCTCTCTCCCGTTTGCATTCATTTCATTCAATTCGCATACATATACGAGGGCGTTTATTGTCAGAAATGATATGTGAAAACAAAACAAAAAATTTATTGGAATTTAATATATGAACGGTTATGCATATCCGTCATTGAATTAAAAGTATAGCAATGATTTTAATTTTAACATTGATTAATAATAACGATAAAAATTCAAAATTTTAGATTTTATAATGCAATCATTTTCGTGTACAAAAAAAACAAATAGCAACAACAAACAAAACCTGAGAAATAATTGATAAATTTTTCTCATTTTTTTTTAAAAAAAGTTAAATTTTGAAATTAAATTTTGCAATGGAGAAAAAAAAATTAATTCTCTTGATTTTCGTTCAAATACGAATCAATCGAATTTCTCTTTCTTTATTTTGTGGTTACGCTAACTAATAATTACTAGCTGATTACCTTATAATCATAGCAACAATGACAAACTAACGAATCGTAACGAAATACGTAAAAAAGACATTTGTTGTGTTTTGTTTTTCCAAAAAATTCACCGAGTGTAAGAAAATGAACAACAAGAAGAAACCAGAACCTAAACTTGAATTTCAATGCAAAAAAAAACTCAATGAATGCCGTGTTAAAAACCTAGAAAACTGTTAAAACAACAAAAACAAAAAACATCATACCTGGATACATCATATTCATCGAATCAAAAGGTTTTTCTATCATAAACAAACATGATCATATACTGTCATATCATTTTCATTGATTTAACAGGTAATAAATAATATGATTCACAAATCAACAAGAAAAAGAAATGAAATTCATATTGACACATTCCATTTCATCGACATCATAGTTATGGCTCGAATTTTGATTGTCAAAAAACAAAAAAAAAGTTGTCAAAATCAATCGAAACTAACGTGCGTACATCCAAATTGTTATGGCAATGATGATGATAATTTGATAATTGTATTATGTGAAAAAAACTCAATATTTGACGAATGATGACAATTAAATTTAGTGGGCAATCAAAATTGAATGAATGAGAAAAGTTGCACTCAAATCCACACGAACATTGAAGTTTTTTTTGTGGTTTCGGGTGATGATGATAAAGCCAATAATTGATAGAATTTTTTTTTTTTTGATTCAATAATAATTTGCGTTAGCAATGGTGATTAAAAATATTTTTTATTTCTTTCGTTTTTTTCCCTTTCGTACATTTTTATTTAACATCAAAATATCGGTCAAAACGGTACGCTTTTATTGAAAAAAATGTTAATTAAAAAAGATGTTTTTTTTGGATTCAGATTCGGCCAACACACGCATACATATGCATGTTAATCGGGACACAACATTGACCGACAATATTGAATTTTTTTTTGTTACTTATTTACAACTAGTTGTTGAAAATAACATTTTTAATGAAATATAGCTTATCAAGAAGTAAAAATAATCAGTATCAGTATCAAGTGATGGTAAAGGTTGAAGAAAAAAAAACATTGACAAACACAAACACAACAAAATTAAAATTAAAAAACATGGATTTATCGAATATTAATATCATATATACCTGATGAAATTTGTTTTGGTCGTTGTTGATATTTTGGCCATTATATCAAGTTCGACGAACCAGTTTTTTTTAATTCTGTCAACAGATTCAGAATGGATGACTTAAAAAAAAATTAAGATGAAAGTTTGATTTTATAATCATCTTATTTTTTTCAAAATGGATAATGTACAAAATGGATGTTGTAAGTTTTTTTCCATAAACAAAAATGATATCTCTATTTTTGAATCTATGACCGGTTTGTTTTTCTTTATTTTTTTGTTGTTGTTTAATCTAAAATTTAAAAGAGTGAAAAATTTTTTTATTACATTTAAAAATGAATCAATTCCTGTGGGCATTATTGTTATGAAAAGAAAAAGAGAAAAATATTTCGGTTAATACCGTTACTCTTTTTTTTTAAAAAAATATTTATCTCATCTAAATCTTTATTTTAATTCAAAGTATTCAATGAATGAATCTTTCTTCTTCAGAAAAAAAACGAAATGATTATCATCATAAACTTTCAAAAAACCTCACCCAAGTAACCAAAGTATTTATATAAAAAAATCATATCCAATAACAATAATAAGGATTAATTTTATACCGTTCGATTGATATTTTTGAAACGTATTGAATCGAAAGTAATATAAACAAAAAAAATAAATAACCATCATAAACATTAAAATATTAGAAGAAAATCCTTTCACAATACATTAATATCGTTATCGTAAATACATTTTTTTTCTTTTTGATGTTCACCGTACGAAATATAATGATGATCATCTTTGGGATGAATAAATTTTTTTTGTTATTTATTTTTTTTAATTTTACATTCACTTTTTTATAATTCATATGACAATATACACAAATAAAGACCTACACACAAACTATAAAAACACACACACCTTTGTATCGGAAATAGGAGAAACAAACTTTACAATTGTATTCTTACATTGTTCTGAAGAAAGGGAAAATGTATTTTTTTTCAATCAAAAAAACGTTGATGATCATTGTTTGAAAAAATAATGTACAAAAAACATAAGAAACTGAATGTGAAAAAAAGGAATCGATTATCGAACAATTTAATTGATCATTTGAAAAATTGATTTGATCAATCGATTCAATTGATATTGGTTTTGAAATGAACAATGATCATATTAGATGCATACATTGAAATTATTGATTATTAATTATTGAATCGTCTAATGATATTTTGAGAAGTCGTGGTCGTCCGCGCTTGTTTAATCGTGGGGGGGAAGAGTAGCGCCCCTTAATTGGGTTAATTAGTTCTTAGAACTATTTCATTATTTAAATGTTCTTTCAATAAACATGAGTCATTAGTCCTGAAATTTTTCTCAATGATTTTAAATTGTTTTTAGAATGTCAATGACCACACCTTATTATTATTATTAAGTTATATGATAATTTTAAAGCTATTCAACATAATCCAATGACGAATATTTTCATTCATAATTATTATGATTTGCTACTGGTGTCTGTTAAGATTCTAATTCAGTCATTTTCGGGAATGTGTTATTTTCTTCAATGAAAAGAATAAGAATTTCAGAAAAGGCGTATTGGATACGAATTGACACATTCATCAAACAGGATTGGATAATTGTTTTCAAGCAAAATATTTCTGTTTTTTTTTCAATTTGATACAATTTTTTTTCTTTGTTAGCAAAAAATATGGAGTCATTTTAGTGTTTTGAAAAAATTTAGTGAAAAAAAAATATTTGACCAAAAAAATGAAGTGAAATTAATTACAGTATTGAGAAATAACATTTTTTTTCTCTACAACAATTATCGCAACAATCGATCAATTTTCTGATGGAAACAAAACATATCTTACGTAATTATTAACGATAGAAAAGAAAAACTCATTCGAATCAATAGGCATGGAATTGGCGACAAATTAGATTAGATTAGTTTCGCATCGTCGGTTATAAAATTTTGTTGTTGTTGTTGTTGATAATTTGACAAAAAATTACAGTTAAAATCTGTAACTTGTTTAATGAATTTTTTTTCCATTTTTTCAATTTAGGTTGACGAAATAAAAATCATGACAAATTTTTTCAAACCAAAATAATCGATCAAATCAAATTCAATTAATTTTATTGAAGGAAATTGAAAATTGATTAACGTTAAATGATTTTTTTTATCAAATTCGGAAAGTTGGTTGGTAAATAAGTTTTCTTGGTAAGATTCTCATTTGATAAATAGGTCGGGTAAAACAAAAGTGGATGGCAAATTTTTAAGATAAATATTTTGATTTGTTTTTTTCGTTTTTTTGGCCCAATTTTTCATCATGCAGATATCATTAGTAACCGATGTCCGCGAAAATTAGAACAAACAAATATTTATTCAATCATTTTTCTCTAAAATGTCATAATAATAACACAAATACAGAATGAATATATTTTCCAATACAAATGTTACTTGAACTTTTTTCATTTTCATTTTCTAATTCGAGTGATGGCAATAATATAATACATTCGTTAATAGTTGATCGCAATGATTATAATCATATATATGGCTACAATGACAAAATTTTTTGAAATTCAATTTCAAATTCAAATTGCAATTGTTTGGCCCTCATTTTTCACAATGATATTAATATTGGCAAACGAATCCTTTTATTTGAGATAGAAGAAAAAAATAAATCCACGAAAATATTCTTTTTGAGAAAAATGAAAATAAATTCGAATTTGTTAAAATGGCTTTACGGCTATATCTACATCGAACGATCATTTTTTCGAATTCTTTTATTTTATTGAAATTCATTCATTTCGTTTATATTCGAAGATTTTTAAAAAAATTATTAATTGTTTTCATCTCATTTGGATTAATTGTTCATACTTTTTTTTCAATGCTATTTTATTGACAAAAGAAGTGGTAAAATACAAAAAATTGTAATAAATTAAGATGATGTGTGTATGCATACTTCGAATTAAATGTGAATAGATCCGAATGATACGTGATTTATTCAAAATAAATTTCATTGACGGAAATCACGTTTTTTGTCTCGATTCAATAGTGGTTTTATGTTTTGATTAATAACGTTGATTATATTGATGTCCACCACCACCTTTACCACTACTTTGGCTATTCGTTCCATTGTTACTGAATAATGATGTATTCGGTCCCTGTCCAGATCCTTGTCCCATTCCACCAGGTCCCAAACGTACACGTTTAGCCGATGGTAAACTATGATGTGGATCATGTCCACTACCACCATGCATCATACTACTAGATTGTCCGTGATGTTGTTGACTTTGATGATGGCCCATAGACATTTTATTCGTTTGATGATTCGATGAATGATGATGATGTCCCATTGCTCCATGAGCATGTCCACCATGATTACCATGTTGATTTTGTCCGGATTGCTGTCCACTTTTTGATACCATGTCGGATGTGGATTGACCATGATGCCCTGATTGGCCGGGTGGTCCTTGTTTCTGCTGTACACCTGGATTCTGTTGATTATTATTAGCAGCTGCAGCTACAACAGCAGCAGCTGCCGCAACGGCAGCCGGATTCTGTTGATTAGCTTGACCATGATTAGCCTGATTATTATGATTATCTTCATTTCCTTCATCGGTGAGAAACTCCCGTTTAGGATATGGTATGGGCATTCCATTGAATACACTAAAAAATGGGATTTTATTGAATCATTTAAATATGATGAACCAAATAAACTTACTCTTGAGTTGGTTCAGGATCTTCACTAAAATATGGATCTTGCATCGCTTGTTCCGATGTAATACGTTTGATCGGATCCATGGACAATAACCGTGATAAAAGTACAAAGGCTCGCGTATCAGATTTTATCTTATGTTTGTCCATATATTTCACTAATGAACAATTAGTATAACTGTTTTCCAATAAGAAAAGAAATTAATTTTCATTTTGTCAGAATCTAAAATACTAACGGTTGTTTTTTGAAGTCTTTTTGTAATTGATTATATTCGGGCATCTTTTTTATATCCTCCCAGTCTTTGTCCATTGGAAAGCCCATCACATTAAATATTCTATCTAATTGATCTTGATGATATGGATTATTCGTTTTTATATCTTCTTGACGACAATGAAATATCGGCTCAGATGTTAATAATTCGGCAAATATACATCCGATCGCCCATATATCGATAGCTTTCGTATAATGTCGTGCACCCAATAATAATTCTGGCGCACGATACCAAAATGTTACAACAACCGGATCAAGATCAGCTAATGGTTTCAATGGATTGTTGAATAACCGAGCAAAACCCATATCAGCTATTTTTACACGGCCACGTTCACGTCCTTCACCCATGACCAAAATATTGGCCGGTTTCTTTCGAAATTAAATTTAGAGATATTAATAAATAATTCTTTTTTCTTTTAACATACCAAATCACGATGAAGTATCCAATTGGAATGTAGATAATGAATGCCGGCTAAAATTTGATAGATTAATGATTTAACCATTCCTTTTGGTACGTGTACAGTTTTCTTATTCGCTTTTGCGCTACGATGAAATTTTATAATATGCCATAGATCATGTTCGGCATAATCGAATAACAACCATACTCTTCGATCAGCATGTGAAAGAAAAACGCGTTGTAGATTTATTACATTTACATGTTTTAATTCTCGAAGTAGCTATTTGATCAAATGAATTTGAATAAAAAATTGAAACCATTTATTGGATTGTTTTCAAACTTACCGCAATTTCACGACATGCTGACATGGATATGCCACTGCCTTCGATCTGTTTCAACGCATATACTCGATCATCATTACTGCAAATGAAATTTATAAAAGGAATTAAAAGAAATTTGATAAGAATCAAAAATTACCTTTCTTTGGGTCGAGCTTTGTAAACATGACCATAGGTACCACGACCTACTTTACAGCCTTCATATTCGAATAAATCTTCGACTTTAGCTCGTTCTTGAGCTAATTTTTCTTTGAATTCATAATCCATCATTATTCATGTTGAATTATTTGAAAAAAATTTGATGGAATTTTTCAAATTCACAAAATTAAAAGAATTTAAATTCTTTGAAATATCAATTGCCAAACAAAACGTTCGGCTCGAAAATAATACAAAATATATTTTCATCCGTTCATAGATGTCGTGCAAAACGAAAATAAAATCTAAATTTTTGCTCAATAGTTGGCGCTAAATTGTCAACCAATTTTTGTTCCAAAGTTTTTTTCTTTTATAGCGAATTCGTTAGATTTTTTTTTTTTTGCTGATAATGGAACTTTTATCAATAGCCAAAACATCGATTGATGTATTCGAATGTCGTATTGTTTGATAATTGTTCAGAACACAAATTTTACATGATGTTTCAAGTTGTCCTATGTATGTCATCATGTAATATGTATGAAGAATTTGTCAATTTTTTTTCGTTTTCTGATTTTTTCTTGTCTTAATTGGACCTTTCATTATTGTTGAATCAAAATTTCTTAAAGACAGCAGAAAAAAAGCATATTGACGAATGAAATCAATGTTTCATCATTCAACGAACATTTTTCATCAATAAATTATAATTTAAAAGATATTGGAACAATGATTTTTTTCTTTTGTTTGATATTATTATATTTGTTTTAATTTGGAACTGAAAATTGAAAATAAAAGTGATGTACAAAATAAATGTGAATGTAGAATGTGTGTTAAGAAATATGTAGAAAAAATCAGCATAAATCAATGTTATTAATGTGAATAAAGTTTCTCTCACACGTTCATCATCACTATAGTTTTTGATTGTAATAATAATGACATTAAATTCTCATTTGATAGATAATTCAATTTAGTTTGAATTTTATTTTCTCTCACTATTTTTTTTTCTTTTTTGTAATTTGATTTTTTTTTGTTAGTTCTTTCTAACAACTAAATTGTATTCCAGTGAGAATTTTTAATAATTTTCCATTTCAAATTTTTTTTCACTGATTCATTTCATGATGATGATTTTTCCCTTCAAAAGTTGATCAAATCAGTTGACAATCTGATTAAAATCAATTTGATATGTAGTATTTATGTGTGTGTATGATAAGATAGAGAACACACATTAAATAAGTGTTGAAATATTCTTTTTTCGTGATAATGAAGATGATGATGATGATGTGACAAACAAAAATGACCAATATTTTGTTCTTCTATATAACAAAACAAAGCAAAAAATATTTCTATCGTAATTCATAGTTTCAAAGGAATCTTTTGTTTCTTACATGATTCGGCAGATTTTTTTTTTTTGTCAGCATCATCTTTGTTTTTTCCTTTCCCTTGACAGTTATCATAGTTACGATAATATTTTGGCTATTATTATGTTCATCTGAAGCCAATATGCTAAGTGATTTTGTTGTTGTTGATCTTTGGTGCCAAATTATGGTTGTTATATTTATTGGAATTCGAGATGATAGAATAGGAAAGAAAACATCGAAATGTCTTAAATTACAAATATTTTTTTTATTATTTTGCTTACACCATTATTCAATTATAATTCTACGTGAGTAGCACAATACATTTCGATTGATGAATAATTGCTGTAAATTGTTCTGTTTGTTGAGAAAGAATTATTATTATTATTTTTCTGTTTTCTGCAACTTAAGCTAAAATTTAATCGATCTATTCACTTGTAATCGATTTTCATTTTTGTTCATTCTTTCATAAATAAAATACGATCATTTCGAAACTTAGAAAACCGATTTTTATTATTATTAGCAAAAAAAAGTTTTTTTTCTCCAAGTTCAATACATTACATAAATTCTGATTTCTATAGATAATCAATGATAATAATTCATATTTTCATTGAAAACTTTAGTTTTTGTTTTTTGTTTTTTGTTTTTCGTTTACCCTAAAACATTCCGAATCTTTATAAATTTTTCTCCTTTAGATATATTTTCTTTGAAAAAATATTCAATCATTCATGGACAAACATCATTACAAGATTTGTTTCTTGTTGTTTTCAATCGAGCATAATAATAATCTTAATCATCATTTATCGAGAGAAAAAAGAAAAAGATCGGAAACGGAACATTTCATCAAAACGCATAGAATAAAATGAATCCGGAAATAGTAAATTGTAAATTTTCACCATTCTAGTCTTTATTTCATTCATATATGAATGAAAATTTGATGATTGAAGATGAAAAATTTATCGCCACATAAATTTTTTTTTATGATGATCATCATCAATTTGATATGAACAATGTTACAACATTTGTTTCATCATTATCATCATTAATATGTTTCTGTTTCTGTTTTCAGTTATTATTAATAAAAATGAACAAAAATAATTGTCATATTCATTCATTATAATCTTTTCATTAATAAATGACAATTTCAGTTTCAATGTTTTTTTGAAACATTTATGTCTGTGTGTGTATGAAACTTACGTACAAATTCTCTTTAGTTTGAAACAGATTTTTCTAAAAAAAACCATAGATCATTTATAAATGTTCGATTCAATTTTCTCTCATTAAAAAATGAACCGGAACTGAAATTGTGAGAAAAAAGAAAAATTGCCTGAAAAAATGAAGTATGAAACCACTATTTAGAAAAGTTTTCGGGCAATTTACCTCCAGAACACATTCATTCGCAAAAAAAATAATGGCAAAAATTCCATTTGTTGAAACAAGAGAAAATTCATCAAACAAAAGAAAAGTAAAAAAAAAAAATATCTCTGCATGTGACGATAATGATGATCAATCAGATAAAATTAATTGTCATTCTAATATAACTAATTGTTTTCACAATTGGTCACAAATGTCAAATCAATATTCAATCATCGTTTACCGAATCGTATTCACATTCAGAAAATAACTTTGATGCCTTTGATTTTCCATCCAACAATAATCAACAACCAAAAAAAAAAATAGATTGGACGGTAATTATTCTAATGATGATGGAACTGGGAAACAATTCATTTATCTTTGATGTTGATATCAGTAATAATCATTGTTATAATTCTATATAGCACAGATTCATTTGTTCTTTTTCCTCCCCTCCAGCATCGTCAAAAATAAAAAAAAACTTTCAACCATTTTGGTTTTCCCTTATTTTTTCTCATCCATATCAAATTGTATGATTTAGATATGATGATGATGATGATGGGCAATTATGTAAATTAATTTTTTTCTATCCATACAATTCTGTCATGGTTTTATGGGATATATATTTTTTTTTCTCGGAATGATAAAATTGTTTTGCTTTTTTTATAGTAAAAGGCGGTTTGTCGTTGTTGTTGTTGATGATGTCTTATTGTTGAATTTGATTCAATAATTATAATGTTGTGATGAATGGATTGTTGTTGTTGTTGAAAATTTTGGATTATTATTATTGTTTTGTTGTTGATGACGAATGAATTTTCAATTTACATAAATCTATCTGAAATTCGTTCACTTTTTCGTTTTTTTTTCATTCTCTTTTCTTTTTGCTTTTTTGGTTTCAACCACAAAATCTAATCATGATAATTGAAATTTCTTTTCTTTTATTATTATCTAGTTTAAATTGAATTTTTTCTCTTGTAAATTCTTAATGATCATTGAATTTTGTGTGGACATTTTTTTCTGGAATTTGTTGCCTCAAGCAAAACTATTTCCCATTTTCCTGTCTTGCCAATGACATTTGTAACAAAAAAAAAAAATTTCTTATCGAATTTGATTTTGAACATTATTTTTAGTTAAAAGTGTGTTTCTGATTTTATTTTTTATTTTTAATCACAAAGTTTCATTTTTTTTCAATATTTTGTTTGGTTCTCTTTGTATTCAATTCTAGAAATCGATAGGAAAAAACTTTTTTCTGATATTTGATTCAACATACACACACTGTATGTATTGTAATTTATCTATGAGAACTTTTCGTTTTTGAATTTTCTATTTGTAAAACTTCTTATGAAACTCTTTGTGTACAAAATTCAATGTTTGAAAGGTCCATTTCAAATGATTTTTGTTTTTTTTTTGCATAAAGTAATTACATAAATCTTTTTTCTTCTCTTTGATTGAAGAGTAGGAAAATGGAAAAAGAAAATAAAATCGATTTTTGTTTCATTTCTCATATTTATTTGATGATCAACGTTTGGCTATAACTTTTTTCTTCTCAACGATTCTTTTGGACATAAGAAACAGAGAAAAAAAGTGGATTTGTATAATGTATTGACTATATCTTGTTAGAACAGTTTTAGTTCTATTAATCGAATATTTGTATAATTATAAAACGTTTAAAGTTCTAATAAAATATTTTAGTTGCAATCAGTAACTTCGTGCATTCATACGTTTATTTTTCCCTATATCTGGTAGCAGAGCTACGTGTGCTTATTTTTCCACATGGCTGACGAAGAAATCGTTAAAATTCTTTCGAAAATTACTGAGAGACTTGAGGTTATTGAAACACGACATCATATTCCAAGTCAAAGTGTTAAAGGACATGATTCATTTGTTCTAAATCAAGTCACGAAATATAATGGATCTAATATTAAATCTTGGTTGTCGACTGTAAAATCGGCATTTAAATCATGTGGTTACTCTCGATTCCTTGAAAGTGAAATACCACAAACTGATCCGGAGTATAAGTCCTATGACAATTGTCTAGGTACAATTCGATTAATGTTTGAACCAAGCAAACTTGAAATAATCGATCATTGCAAAACCGTTTTTGAGGTTTGGTCTTATATGGCGAAGATCGAGAAAGACACGTTTGCGACAGCAGTTCGTAAATACATGGAATTGTCAACCTGCAAATATACAGGTGGTCCATTACGAGTTTGGTTTGAAACTCTTATTGCTCGTTTTGAAGCGATAGAGTCAGATTGGTGCACATATAGCGACAAACATAGATGTGTCGTTGTTATTGGTATGTTACGAAGTGTACCGAAATTCGATCAATTGGCTGATCGTATTGTTTCACGTCAAAATTGTTCAATGAAAGACATAATCAATCTCTTTATTGAATATGATGAGAATGTTAAAATTAATTCTCTAACTGTTAAAAATACATTTGAAAGTGCGAAAACACTCAAGAAAAACGGTTTCAACAAAAATTTTCAGCGTAACACCATCAAGTGTACGTATTGTAATAGAATTGGACATAAAACTGAAGAATGTCGTATTAAATTTTGGAATGAAAATAAAAATAAAACTGCATCATCATCTAAAATTTCTTCAAATGTTCAATCGTCCTCGCCATCAACATCAACAACATCATCATCGTCATCAACAACACCAAAGACATTCATCAAACGTGTTGCTAAATCGGTAATTAATAAAAGAATTGATAATATGTCGAATATTTGGATTCTTGATTCAGCTTGTACATCACATACAACAATTCAAGGTGACAAATTAATTAATCCTATTTACAAAGAAATAGAATTTGAAATTGCCAGTGGTGATGTTGTTAAATCTGAATTAGTTGGTGATGTTATTATTAAACCAACTGAAGAAACAGAATTGTTTTTAAAAGATGTTGTTTATGGAAATTTTAATTCAAATTTGATTTCAATTCGCAAATTAATTTTGGATGATTATGAAATATTTTTTGGTAAAGAACGTGCATTAATTAAAAAAGATGATATTGTCATCGAAGCAATGCTTTTTCAAGATCTTTGGATAATATCAGAAATGTCAAAACCAAAAATTTGTAATATTTGGCATAAACGTTTAGGACATTGCTGCACGAAAATTCTTTCACGAATTAATAAGGTTGAACCTCAAATCAATCTCAAAAATGAAAAATGTGAAGATTGTTGCATGAATAAATCTGTAAGTTTGCCACATAAAGTTAAAATGGTTTATGATGATATCGGTGTTTTTGAAATGTTACATATTGATTTATGGCAAGCACCAGAATTATCTTGTGGTGGAAGCAGATATGCAATGCTTATTATTGATCATTTTTCACGTTTTTGTTTTGGCATTCCGTTGAAACATAAATCAGATGCAACAAATGAATTAATCGAATTTATTTTGAAAAAAGAAAAATGTTTTAAAACTAAAGTGAAACGTCTTAGAACAGATCGTGGAGGTGAATTTATTAATGATACCTTCAAGGCGTTTTGTTCTGAAAAAGGTATTGATCATGAAACAACAGTCGGGTATTCACCTGAACAGAATGGAATTGTAGAACGTATGAATAGAACTGTGTTTAGTACTGTTCGAACGTTGCTCAATTCTGCTAATGTACCGAAAAAATATTGGGCTGAGACAATGGCTACAGCGATCTATTTAATCAATTCATGGATTCGTGATGATGAATTGTCGCCTTATGAAAAAATGTTCAATAAAAAACCAAATTATCGTCATCTACGTACATTTGGGTGTGTAGCTTATGTTCATCAAAATCAAATGAAACGATTGTCAAAATTAGATGAAACAGCAAGAAAATTAATGTTTATCGGTTATAGTGGATCAATAGTTAATTATGTTCTGCTTGATCCAGAAATTGATGAAATTATTGTTACGAATGATGTTAAATTTAATGAATCAAAAATGTTTTTTGAACAAATATCATCATCGTCAAATTTGTCTTCATCAAGTATTAGTGATTTTTCATCACCATTCATCAATGATTTGAATTCACAGAACGTAGATTTGACCTCATCAAATTCTGCTGATTCTTTTGAAGAAACAACAACTAACAGTGTAAATGAAGATGATTCGGAATTTATTCCAGAGTATACCACAGAAAGCACTGAAACAGTTGATATTGTTGAAAATTCTTTTCCTCGACGATCATCACGTCAAAATTTTGGTATTCCACCAATACGTTATGGCTATAAGTGTATCAATTCATTTGTAGTACCATCAACTTATGAAGAAGCTTTAAGCCTTTCAGATTCAGAAGATTGGAAGAAAGCTATTCAAAATGAAATTGATCAATTGCAAAAGTATCGAGTTTTTCGAAAAGTACCATTTGATAAAAATTGCAAAATAATACCAACAAAATGGATATTCACAAGAAAAAGAAATGGTAGTTATAAAGCACGTCTAGTGGCGAAAGGTTTTACACAAAAATTTGGCATTGATTTTTCTGAAATTACATCGCCAACACCTGAACCATCTTTAGTTAATCTGGTACTTTCTTATGCAAAAACTTTTGGTTATAAAAATCGACAAATTGATATACGTACAGCATTTTTAAATGCACCATTATCAGAAGCTTTGTTTGTAGCACCACCACCTGGTTTTGTGCATGATGGTTTATTGAAACTAGAAAAAGCACTTTATGGTCTAAAACAAAGTCCATTAGCATGGTATAATACAATAACAGAATTTCTTTTATATATTGGTTTTGAACGTTGTCTCTCGGACAAATGTTTCTTTAAAATGAATGATATTCTTCTACTCATCTATGTAGATGATATTCTAATGGTTGGACCAGATGAAGATATATTGTCTGATATTGTAAAACAACTAGAAACAAAATTTGAAGTCACCGACATCGGAAAAGTACATGATTTCCTTGGTGTAGAAATTATTGAAAAACCAAATCATTTTGAACTTTGGCAAGGAGAATCAATCAAAAAAATTCTTGAACAATATAATCTTACTGAATGTAAACCAGCACGTGTACCTATGGCATCATTATATCTACAACCTGATGATGAAGAAATTGATAATAATTTACCAGTTCAACAAATTATTGGGTCCTTATTATATTTGGCTAATCGTACTCGACCAGACATATCATTTGCTGTTAATTGGTTATCGCGATTTTCTAAAAATCCTACACAGTCATTGTTTGCTGCTTGTAAAATGGTTTTAAGATATTTATCAAGAACCATTGATAAGAAATTAATTATTGGTCGATTAAATTCAACTTTGTCAGTCTATACTGATTCGTCGTTTGGTCAAGGTACTTCTCGTCACTCAACAACTGGTATTATTGTACGTTGTGGAGAATCAACAATTAAATGGAAAAGTGTTAAACAACGAAAAATCTCAATTTCAAGTTGTGAAGCCGAAATTACAGCCATATTAGAAGGTTATCGTATTGCCGAATTTCTATTGCATATTTTTAATTGGCTTCAATATCATATTGAAATTAAATTTTTATGTGACAATCAGTCTGCAATACATTTGATTAAAAAATCGAATTCAATGAAGAAATCGAGATACTTTGATTTGGAGGTGAAGAAGCTAATTGAATTGTTCTCGACAAACCAACTATATAATATCAATTACGTTCCAACAAAAGAACAAATATCTGATTGTTTAACCAAACCATTGAACGAAAAATTATTTTTAATATGTATAGAAAAAATTTTTATTTAAATATACAAATATTTGATTTAAAGGGGGAGATTGTTAGAACAGTTTTAGTTCTATTAATCGAATATTTGTATAATTATAAAACGTTTAAAGTTCTAATAAAATATTTTTAGTTGCAATCAGTAACTTCGTGTGTTCATACGTTTATTTTTCCCTATAATTTCTATATTTTTTACATTTTTTTTTGTTTTTTTTGAAAATTATCATTTTGTTAAATTCATTGGTTTCCAATGATTTTTATGTACATTTGTTTGAAATGGTGTTGGTCCACGTATATTTGAATGTAAACAATTAACATAAACATCATGATATAATTCATCCGAATCTAATTCTGGATCAGTACGTGCTTGATTCATTGCATCATCCATTTGTTTACGTATATTTAAATCGATTTGTTTTAATTCATCACTAGTAACTAATTCTGCTTGTATAATACGTTCTTTAAATGATGTAATTGGATCACGTTTTTGTCGTACTTCTTGTATTTCTTCACGTGTACGATAACTAGTACCTGGATCAGAAACTGAATGACCAAAATAACGATATGTCATTGCTTCCATACAGAATGGTCCTTGTCCATTACGACATAATTCAGCTAAATATTTTGTTGCTTCACGTACAGCTAATATATCCATACCATCAACCCAAATACCCGGTATATAATCACCACGTGTATAATAATCTGAACTAGCTGCAGCACGTTCAGATGATGTACCCATACCATAGCCATTATTTTCTGTAATAAATATTATTGGTAATTTCCATAATGCAGCCATATTATATGCTTCAAAAACTTGTCCTTGATTAGCCGCACCATCACCACATAAAGCTAATGTTATTTCATTTGAATTTGTATATTTTTGTGCTAATGCTATACCAGCACCTAATGGAATTTGTGCACCAACAATTCCATTTCCACCATAAAATCTCTATGATAACAAAACAAAAAAAAAGAAGAATCAAATTGATGTCCAATGTCAAATCCATACACCCAAAAAAAAAACATACATTAGTATAAAGATGCATTGAACCACCTTTACCACGTGCACAACCTGTTTTACGACCAGTAAGTTCGGATAAAACACCAACTGCATCAACACCACGTAACCAAACCCAACCATGTGCACGATATGCAGTAATAACGGCATCTTTTTTTCTATGAAACAAAATCAAAAAAAAAAAATTCATAAAAATTCTCAAAAAAATTCTAATACTTACGTTATTGCATTTTCCATACCAACAGCAACAGCTTCTTGACCGGTATATAGATGACAAAATCCACGTATTGCTTTTTCTTTATACAATGTATTCGAAGCGGCTTCTAATCGTCGAATAATTGACATTTGTTCATAGTATTTTATAGCATCATCACGTGTACAGATAACTTCGGTAGCCGGACCTTGTTCCAATCGATGTAATTTATATGGTTTAATTTGAAATTTTGCTTCATTGATTGTTGATGAAAATTTTCGAAACAATAATAAACTGTTATTTATCGACTGTTGTCGGAATATTCGATTCGGAAAGAGGCTGCGCATTATCATCTTCAATCAAATTCTTTTTGGCAACAGGAATCGGTAACAGAATGAAAATTGAAAATAAAAAAGAAAAGAAAAATTTGAGACAAAAAAAAACTAACTAAATATAAAGACCTAAACATTTAAAATCAATAACAAATTAAATCGAAAAACAAAAAACATCATTTATTGTTCACATGATTTTTTTTGCTCGGTTGATAATATACCAAGGACACAAACATTTGTGAGAAATCCGAAACAGACAATTTTTTCATTCAATCAAAATTGAGAATGATCACATTGACTATTTCAACCTAGATGGCATCATCTACCAAAAAAATAAAAACATCAACATTATTTTGCTCGAATTTTTTTTTCAATATTCGTAGGTTTTTCTTAATTTTTTTTCGTAGAAACAAATGTAGTTTTTTTAATTATGAAATTTAAATGTAAATAAATAAATAAATAAAAAAACCTAATCTTTTATACAAAACCACTTAAGATTATTGGGCTTCATTCAAGATGCTTTTATATGAAATCATCATCATCAATTATAATCAATATAGCCATCGATCGATGAGCTGATTATTATTGTAATGATTTAATTATGATCGCTAAAAATAATTTAATTAGAAATTCTATTCTAACCATGTTCTACTAAATCAATTAATTAATTCAATCAATGATTTTTTTCCTTTCAAAAATATAAAATTCGAAACTGTTTGTGTATATAAAATAGAGGGTAAGTTAAAGTTAAAATTTTTTATTTTTTAATTTTAATTTTGTTTTTTTTAAATTATCGATTGGATAGATATCGAAATTCTAAGCTACCGAAAACTCAAACATGTTCAAATCTACTAACGTGTTGAAAATTCAAAATTACAATGTGCCTTTGATATATTATTCATCATTATTATCGTCAATCAAATCGATATTAACGAAAAATTCTGTGATCAATAATAAATATCGATTATTAAATCATTATTATTTATTATTATTAATAATTTTAATAATGATAATACCAACATATGAAATGATTAATATATCAAAAAAACATCATCAACGACATAATCATTTTAAACTTGTTGTATTTAGTTTTGATGGTTTTCGTCCCGATTATATTACTGTTGAACGTACACCAAATCTATATGATATTGCTAAAAATGGTGTTCAAGGTATGTATTAATTTTGTTTGTTGTTGATTTTTTTTTTCAATTAATCAATCAATCAATCAATCAATTAGGAATAATGCGATCAACATTTGTAACGAAAACATTTCCAAATCATCAATCAATTGTTACAGGATTATATGAACCATATCATGGTATTGTTAATAATAAATTTATCGATCCATTAACAAAACAACCATTCTCTGTAAATAATGATAGTTGGTTTTGGTGGGATCAGCATAATATTTCTGTACCGATTTATATTGCCAATCAATATTATGAATCGAATCGTTATAGTATTTCATTACAATGGCCTGGTTCAATATCAAATTATACTGATGGTTATCATTTGGATCATCGTGAACGTGTACATTATCTTGAAAATTATCAATCAAATGTTGATTTTTTTCATCTTATTGATGTATTAATGAAATGGTTAACTGATCCAATAAAACCGGCTAATCTTGCATTTGTTTATTTTCAACAACCAGATGAAACGGCACATCAATATGGTCCGTTTAGTGATGAAGTTTATGAACAAGTTCAATTAATAGATAAAGTTGTTGGATATTTTCAACAACAATTATTAAAAATGAATTTAGCACATTTAACAAATGTTATATATCTATCTGATCATGGTATGTCGGAAATTCGTTCGGAACGATCATTATATATTGATAAATGTGATAAATATTATCCTGGATTAAAATATGAATTATATGGTTCAAGTCCAACTTGGTCAGCCATACCAATATCGGCACCAAAATTATCATCACAAAAATCATCCGAATTGGCCAAATCTGTTCGTGATGCATTGAATGATTGTAGCCATAAATATTATAATGGAAAATTTTCAGTATATCTACAGGAAGAAATTGCCGATGAATTTCATTATAAAAATAATATCCGTATATTACCATTATTTATTATATCGGAAGAAGGTTATGATGTTAATTATAAAGATGTTGGATATCGACCAAAAGGTTATCCAATATGGGGTAATCATGGTTATAATTCATCATTACCATCAATGCAGCCATTATTTTTAGCAAAAGGTCCACGATTTAAAACTTCATATAGTCATCCAATACCATTTGAAAATATTGATCTCTATCCATTAATGTTAAATCTATTGGACATTCCATTGAAACATTTTCCAACAACAAATGGTACATTTGAACATGTACATCAAATGTTAATTTATCAACTTTATTTAAATGATGATAAATTTACAATGAGCCTTAATGGTATGTTTGTTTAATAATCCTAAATGCATAAATGTTAATAATGATCAATTTTTTTTCTTTCATTCATAAATAGTATTTTTTTATTTAATTTCTGGATTTATGATCATATTTTTGGCCGGTTTTTGTTTTGTATGCATTTCTGGACGAATAGAAAAAAATTATCTCCGTAATTCGATTGATTCATCATCATCGTCATCGACATCTAAACGATTAATAAATTATTTGAAAAAAATATCAAATGGTCAACAAAATGAACAACGTTATAGAATGTTTGCCAATGAAAGACCAACATCGCATCTAGATTCATCTGATGATGATGATGATAATAATGGTGAAGATGAATTATTCAATAGGAATCGCCATCAACAGAAAGCAATCAATAAAAATCAATTAACCGATATTGATTGGGATATATTGGGCACAGGTCTTGATATCGATCTTGTTGGACAATTAAAAAATGAAACTTCAAATGGTCAGAATATTGTAAAACGAAATGAATATCTTGATATTTCTAGTGATAATACAAGTGATAACAATGATAATGTTGATCGGCCATCATCTAAAAGTAAACGAAAAAATGAAATCATTTCATTGTTAATCACCGATGATGACGACGATGATTGTAATAATATGAATGACAAAGAAATTAAAATCAAAATTAACAATGAAGAATTTGAAAATCTAATTTCCGAAACAAATGTAATAACCAATAATAATAATAAAGTGATTGAAAATGACAATGATAAATTGATTGATATTTAAGAAATAAATTGATTTTTATTTAAGAAATTTTTTTTTGTTTGTTGTTTTTTTTATAAAAATGAATAAGATGTATGAGACAAACAAAAAAAAAATCAAAATTGAGGATTGAAAATGAGAACATTTAACATATATATGGAAAATACATAGACAATGATCGAAAAAAAAACCGAAAATTACATTGGAAGAAAATGAGGGGAAAAAAAGGTGTATAACATAATGACAAAGAAAAAGAAGAAGAAATTAAGCATCCACACTTAATCAATGCAGGATGATGATTATAATATGGTGGGTATGGTTATCATCATGATCATCATCATTAATGGTTGGCCATTAAATAAAATAATGATAATAACCAGTGAATGTTGTTGATATTAGAGAGATTCACAAGTTCTTCAAATAAATGTTTAATCCATTTGATTTATCATTAATGTTGTATCACAAATGTTAAAATTATAGAATTAATTGATTAATTGATTTTTTGATGAAAGTCTGATAGAATGATTAGGAAAAAATGATGATGATGAACTCATTAATAATATGATATATGTATAAATGTATGATGATGATGATTTATATTTGAGAAATATTATTCTGGAAAAGTTTATACTTTTTTTTCGAAAATGTATATAGATTAATAGTAGAATAGTAAATGATAATCATGAATATCATAATTGATGATCAGGACAATAAACAATAAAATTATTATCATCAAATTTATAATTCAATTCAATAGCACATGGATAATGTAATAACATTGGCATAATGGCCATATTTTCAAAACACAATCGATCAATACGATGATTACGATAAAAATGATTATGATGATAATGACGATCACATTGATTCATTGAACAGGTAATAGTTGCACCCGGTTTATTACAATAATAACAATATGATTTTAATGCTTCATTTATGATTGATAATGAATGGCTATTGATTGGACGATATGGTGTTGCCATTGGTATATTTGTCCATAGATAACATTGTTCATGAAACCATATTTCAAAGTTTGCTATAAACAAATGAATTTATTAAATTAATCAATCAAAGATACAAATTCAAAGATATACACTTACCATTAACATTATTATGATTATTATTATTTTTATTCATATTAAAATCAGCATCATCATCATTAAAATAATAAGGCCCATAAAGATAGCCAAGATTATTAACATTTGGCCGTTGTTGACAAAATATACAACACCAATCATCAACACGATCTTCAGTGCAAGCATCGATTAGATTTTGTTTTAATTTTTTTAAACGTGCTGCTGATGATCGAAGATATGATCCGGATGTTGTTGTTGATGATGATGATGATATGTTTGTTGATGAAGTTAATGATGATGATGTAATACCTTGATTTGTAACTGGTAATTCATCAATCTTATTAATCAATTGATATTGAAGTTTACTATCCATTATGATTCTTGTATAAAGATCATCATCATCAATATGATCTGAATGTTCTTGAGTGATTTTCATTTTAGATTTTTTACTTTTCTTTTTTTCATTGTTCAATTCATTACGAATAATCCTTATGACTGGACCGATTATACGTCTTTCGTTCAATAAATTTAATGATTCGGATGATGAACTAGCTGGCTGAATATTACCATTATATTTTAATGATAATTTTCGTCGAATTGAATCACTGAAAGCATTGACCGTATGATTAATGTTTGTTGAATCTTCCGAAATTGGATGTTCGGTTGAATTTTCAATAGATTTTTTGGTTTTCGTTTTCTTATTTTTAGATTTTTTCTTTTTTACCTTTTCATCCACAGGTTCGTAATCACCATCATCACTACTATCATCATCTTCATCATTATCATCATTGGTTGCAGGTAAACTTAATCCTCTATCATCAGAATCCGATTTCGATTTTATTTTCTTTTTAGGCACATTTTTCTTCAAAATATCAACATCATTATCGTTCTGTTTTCGATTATTTTGACAATATTTTTCAACAACAAATTCAATAATTTCATCAACCGATTGATGATTATCATTTGAATTTGTTGAATTTGATGATAATGATGATGGCATGGTAGTATTATTATTATTATTATGTTTTTTCAAACGTTTTTTTGAACTTAAAGATTTATCACTAAGTGGCGCACTAGTCTTATTGTCATCATCATTATCAGATACATGTGCTTTTTCTTTTGATGTTGATGTTGCTGCTGCTGCTGGTATTTCAGCAATAATATCACAACATTCATCATCATCATCATCATCATCATCATCATTATCATTATCATCGTTCAGATTTGTTTTCACTTTATCATTGTGACTGTTATTATTTGATGATGATGATGATGATGATTGAATCAAATTTTTTTTAGTTAATATTGATTCAGATTGCTTCTGTAGCCTAGCTAATCTTTTACGATCACGATTCTGTATCTGTTTGAGTTTTTCTTTTTCTTTTTTTGATGGATGTCTATTATATGGTGATATAATAATTGAATCTATCATTGTCGATGATGATGATGAGGATTCTTTACTTGTTATTTTCGTTTGTTGTTGTTGTTGTGGCAGTTTTTTCGATAATTTTGTAGTAGTAGTAGTCGGTTCTATAGAAGAACTTGATGATAATGCTAAACAAGGCATTTGTTCTGATGATGATGATACAGGTGATATTCTTTGCCATTGTCCATTACGTTTATTATTATTATCGGCCATCATCATAATAGATTTCTGTTGTTGTTGTTGTTGTTTACCATTTGCTGATACAACAATCGATTTAGAATTACAGGATTTTTTCAATTTTTTCAAATTTCTTTCACCGCTAATTCGACTAACTTTTTTATCAATATTTTCTTCCGGTATTTTCTGTAATAAACTAATACCATTTTCATTTTTTATTAATTTTTTATTACGTTTTCGATTCATTATTTGATTTTTATTCAAATCATTCGATAATTTGATTATAATATCTTTATTATGATTCATTATTTTTTCATTATTTATATAATCATTCGATTCTTCATCATTTTCATCATCTTCATCATCATGTGATGGTGATGGTGGTGGTGATTTTCTTAGACAAATTTTTTGCTTTCTTTGTCGTTTTCTTATCGTTGTTTCATTTGATGGTGACTTTTGTTCTTGTTGTTGTGGCAGTGTTTCATTATTAAATGTTGTTGATGAGGTCAATTGTTCTTCATCATCATTATCATCTTCATTGATTACTAATTCTTTTTCATCATCATCATCATCATTTTCATCGATAATCTGTTGTTCGGATTCATTATTTTCATCATGATCATTATCATTATCAACACTATCATCAGCATCATTAATGCTTTTGTTTGAATTTAAACTAATCGAATCACCCATCGAATCATCGGTTACTGTATTCAAATTAGTTGATTGTTGATTTTTATTGTCCAATGTTGATGATAATAATTTTGGTGGCTGATATTTACGTGGTCTACCACGACCACGTTTTACTGTTGGTGCTTTTTTCAATAAATGTTTCAATGTAACAGCTGATACTTTTGTTGTTGCTTCCTGTATGATCGATATTGATGGTAAAGTTGTTTCAAGAATTTTCTCGATTGTAGCCGCTGTAATCGGTTCAACTGACGATTCTTCTGTTTTGATCGCTTTTGTGGCAACTGTATTTGTTGTGGTTGTTGCTGTTGTTGTCGTCGTCGTCGTTTTTGAAGATAAAGATAATGAAGATGATGGTGATATGGTTGTCGTTGTCTTTAAATTTGTTGGCGTTAAAATCGAAGAAGATGATGATGATGATGATGAATTTGTCATCGATCTACGTAATTGTGTTTCAATTATCAATGAATTTATATTAAAACGATTTTTACGTCGACGTTTTCGTGTACCAGGTAATGGTCGTAATTGTTGTTCTTTATGTGCAGCTATTTCTGCTTGTAAATCAATTAGATCATCATCATTTATTGTTTGTAATAATGTTTCATCATTACAATTATTATCATTATAATCATCATCATCATCCAATTGGTATGTTTGTTCATCAATTTTATTATTTTCATCATTATTATTATTATTGATTAATCTATTATCTTTATCATTATTTTGATTTGTAATATCAATATGATTATATTTTTTATCATCATCATCATCATCAACTGATAATGGTAAAACATTATTTAAATTTGATGATGAACAAGATAATGTTGAAATGTTGATTGGTATTTTATTTAAATTTTTTTCAAATTCAATTTTTTTATTATCATCATTATCATTGATTGTAGTAATATTATTGTTTGAATTTAAATTCGATAATAATTGTGATGATAGTGGTGGTGGTGGTGGTGGAGAATAATGTCGACGAACTTGATTATCATTTAAATTATTATAACGTGTTTTGAAAAATTTTTTCGTTGTATTCGATGATGATGATGATGATAGGCCACCGCTAGAATCATCTTTAATGAGGGGAAAAAAAGTAAAAAAATATTAATTTAAAAAACAAACAAAAATTAATTAAACAAATCATTTAATAATACCATTAATTGGCTGAATAAATTTATTAACGGTTATGGCCGATATTGAATGTAATTTTGGCTCAAACAACATTGATTTGGCGGCAATGTCAGATGAAGATGTTTTCGTTGTTGTTGTTGTTGTTGTTATCGATGATTTTATTGATAAAGATTCTTTATTATTATCAATTATTGTTGTAATATTTGGACGAAAATCATAGATATCTGTATTTGTTTTATCATAATCAGAATTATGACCATTAATTTTATTATTATTATTTTGTCCTAAAATAAGATTATGATTTGTAATTGATGTGATTGTAGTATTATTGTTGTTGTGTTGATTGTTGATGGACAAAGACGATGTGGAAGTTGTTGATGATAATTGTGGTTGTTGTTGATGATGAAGATGATAATGAGAATTTATTGTTGATAATTTGGAATAATTTGTTATCGTTGATGCTGTTGTTGATGATGATATTGTATGAGGCATATTGATCATTATCGATCAGATTTTTTTAAATAAAAAAATTTAAAAAAAATTCAATCACATCCATATCATATTATTCAGATTTATTTTCTATCTTTTTTTTTGGAATGAAATTTTCACACAAACACAATTTTATTTCATTTGAAGAAATATCGATGAAACAGAAGAATTTTTTTTTCGTTTTTCAACAATAAAGTACATTGATGATATCGATCAATTGTGAACGATAAACAATGATGATAGAGAAAAATTAACAAAAAAAAAAAACAATCAAACGCAAGTCATCATCATCGTCATAAACATCTCAATCAGTCAGTTAGTTGTTTGATAATTTTTTTTTTGATTGAAGAAAAAAAAAGATTTGTTGTTTTTTTTAAATCAAATAAATTGATTGGTCGATAATCGATTGATCGATTCAGTCTGATATATAGAGAGAGAGAGACGGAAAGCAGTCCATGTTTTTTGTTTGTTTTTGTGTAATTTTGCGACAAATAAAAATTTAAAAAAAAAACATTAATTTAATTAGCAAAAAACAAAACAAAAGAATACATACCAATGATTCATTTTTCTTTAATTATCATTCTTTTTCATCTATCCAAGATGATGGGATCAAAGGGTTGAATTTTTTTGTTGTTGTTTGCATTCGACAAATTTTTTTGGCTATTCATTTTTTTTTTAAATTTAAAGCCAAAATAAATGACCAATCATCTATCAATACGATGTTTCATCATCGATATTTTGTAATCGGTGATTTAGATTAGACCATTGGAGTTTTCTTCAAGACAAAATAAAATAAAATACACATACACCCACACACACACACAAACAAACATCCAATTTTCCTCACCAAAAATTAACATCTACATTTTTCATTGAGTTGATTTTTTAACATGGAATTTACAAAATAATAAAAATAAAATGATAAAAATAAAATGATAAGATAATATATTTGTAATACACAATCGAACACTATAAACTCACGCTGTTTAGATTTTTTTTTTTAATGAATGGATATTAGAATTTATTTGATTAAAGCGCCACATATTGTTGGTTGGTCGTATTAAACTACAAAAACAAAATGAAAAAAAAAGAATGACAAAGATCGAGACATTGCGCAGACATTCACAAAACACAAATATATCACAATATTGTGAACATCTGCACTTAGCACTTACTGTCAGTAATACCACTACTTTTTTATCTTGAATATTTCATTCATGAATTTTTTTTTTTTTTTTTTATAACTTTTTTTTTTTTGGCTTTTTTTTTTTTTCGTTTTTGATATATAAAAACACAAATATATATATA